ATTTTAATGTTGATTCTTGAAAGTTAAGATTTCAACCCTCTAAGTTTCTTCTTTGCTACCAACATATGCTCTTCGAAGCCATTCAAGCATCGCAGAAATTTAATAGCCATTTATGCATCATTATGCTAGTCAGAAATGCACCATTTTATACTAGTCAGAACTACTTCATTTTATTAAAGTAAGCAATGTGTGTATTTGTAACAGTGTCTCCAGCCTTGTTTTATTGATTATAGTTTACAAGCTGCTACAGAAAAAATGGCTACGAATATTTTACCAAAAACTGGATAATTAATGAATAATTATAATTATAAATAACTAGTAGCTACTTAATTGCAATATAAATAGCCAATATTTAATGTTACATTATGCAGTATGTATAGCTACAAATTCAAATATACCTATACACTGTATACTATAGCTATGTAAAGAACTATAGTACTTTATGTTAATACAAATATCAAATAGCTATAAATGTATCCACAAATTCACACACAATTTATATATTGTGTGCTGTACAATGTGCTGTATGGGGGAAATATAGCTAGCTATAAAAACCTACTTGTACAGCTAGCTAACTTTGCAACTCAGCTATATAGTAATGGAGCCAGAAACAGAAAAGATCCATGGCTGCACACATGCATCATAACTATGTATACATGCATTGTTTACAAACATGCAGCCTAGTTATATCTTGTTATTTTATTTACTACTGTCTTCTGTAGTCTGGTCAGTTTGTTCTGTGGATCTTCAGCAAAACATTTCTGAAACAATACCTAAAGGATTAACTATAATTGACTACAACATGCATGCAAACACGTGATACATTGATAATTGAGTTATATGCATAAAATGTAAACTATACTATTGTCCACAAAATGGACATTAAAAAGTTAACAAACTAGTTGGTTAAAAAATAGAAATTTAAAAAGAAGTAATAGGGATTGCAAAAAATAAACATACATATGTCAATCTGTCATGCATTGTATTTCTATTGCACTGCACATTGAATGCCTAGGCATATGTAAGGGGTTGTATGGATATACACAGCATGGTCACAAGTAAATAGACACCACCTTTTCAGAAAAAATGAAATTTTTCAGTCATATTCACATGAATTGATATATTTATAATTTAATTAATATCTAGTAGATCTTCCTTTTGCTTCGTGGAGTTTGTTGAGTATTTGGGGCATCTTGTCAATTTTAGATTGTGGGATTTTGGCCCACACTTGCTTCAAAACTTGGAGTAGATCGCTCTTCGAAGTTGGTTTTTGTGGTTATTTCTTGACTTGTCGGTTGGGTATAGCCCAGAGGTTTTCGATGGGGTTCATGTCAGGAGATTGGCTCAGCCAGGGCAACTTCTGG